AGCCTTTTCTTCCGCAGCCTTTTCTTCCGCAGCCTTAGCGGCCTCCTCCTCCTTGGCTTTTGCGTCGGATGGGGCATCCGCCTGCTTTCTCACAGCGTTCATAAACTCATTCCGAACCTGTTCCGCCGTTTTCTGTGTGGCTGTGCTCTCGGTTCGAGCATGGGAAGGCGTCGACGGTTTTGGTGGGGGCGTGGGAGTCGAGACAATCGCGGGCGGTGTCTTGGACTGCTGAATCCCGGGGGCGGGAGAAGCTGGGGTCTTGATGGCTGAGAGGTCAACGACCTTACCTTCTGAGTCCCTGATTACGATCGCTGCACTCTTTTTGGGTCGAGAGAACGCGGGTGAGGACACAATGGCCGGAGGTGCCGTCTGCGCAGGCCGCTGCTGGGGTGTGCCTTGGGCGATGGCTGGGGTCTGATTCTGTCCGGTCGACGCCGGCCGATCCGAAACCTGCGACGCGTTACGGGACATTGCCGGAGCCGCCGGTTGTCCAGGTGCATAGGCGGGAACAAACCCTTGATGTGGGCCTGGGGGGAACTGCGCCGACTGCTGCATATAGGGGTTCATTGGCTGCCCAGGGTACTGATAATTCACGCGATAGTCGACGTGCGGCGGTGGCATGCCATACATGTTGCCCATCTGCATCTTGTTTGCGGTTAGCAGCTTTTCAAACGTACCACTCTCTGGCGATAGATCAATAGGTCCCATCAACTGAGGGGCAAGCATGGGAACAGGGCGGCCGGGTTGGAAGTGGTAGGAGGGAGGCGGGCCATCCGAATACTCGGGCGTGGGTGTGCCGCCGTTGATATTCTGATGACCTTCAGCCGCCGAGTCCCAACGCTTGCTTTGACGCCGCGACCTTTGGGTGTTGGTTTCCATGCTTGTCTGTTGTTTGTTGGGGGCGTTGAGAGCTCGCAGATGAGTTTTCTCCGAGTCCCGACGCCCTGCCTTGCTCTTCTTGTGTGTCTTGAAGTTGGAAGAGTCGTTGTTAACAGAAAGGGACTTTACTTGATGTGTATAAGGGGGAATGGCCGGGTTCATGCCCGGGTGGAAGTACGGCTGGGCACCGGGGGCCAAAGCGGCAGGTTGCATAGTGGGCGTTCCAGCATGAGGCATGGCCGGAGTAGTAACTGGGCTGGCACGCGGGGGTTGCGGCGAGTTGGGGTAACCCTGCATGCCGCCGCGGCCCTGGTGGTAAGGCTGCATGCCTCCTCGGCCCGGATTAGAGCCTGAGAAGTTGCGGTGGTTTGGCGGTGGGTAACCCATGGCGGTGTATCCCGAATTATTGAAGTTGCCGCGGCCGCCGCGACCGCCTTGGCCCTGATAGCCACCACGACCGTGCGCGGGAGCGCCATGGCCCACGCTTTCACTGTGCGCAGAAGCCTGCGAATCGCGCCTCACATGGGGGCTCTGCTGGCCCATAGGGGCTGGGTTATGCTTCAGGTGACGCTGAGAATGCATGATTAGTAATGAGGCAGCCTCTGAGCGAGAGGGAGAGGTGCTTACATCATTGTCGCCTGGGAAGCTGCCAAATGTGAGGGGTGCCGCCTGTGGCATCGACGGAGCCCGCTGGCCGCCACCGCTCTGTTGTGGGATCTGTGGGATAGGTGATGGCGAATGAGCAGGGGACTGAATCCGGGGGTTGCCGCTACCGGGGATGGGAATCGGCGCGGCGCCGCCCATCTGAGGCGTGCTATGAGCTATCGCAGGCGACTCGTTAAAGCCGAACTGGATATTCTTATGGCCGCCAACAGGGCCGCCGTTCGCCACATGGCCAGCTGGAGCGTTGGCGCTGATTGTAACCGAGCTCTTACGGGCATGCTCTGCGCCGCCGTTGACGATGGAGCTGCCACGCGCAACGGATGGAGCGGCGACTGGGACCGCAGGGGTGATGTTGGGTCTGCCGTTCATCGGCGAGGCAGTCGAAGATTTGCCATTTTGTGCGGCGGGGGCGGAGGATCCGACCACCACAGGCGGTTGGGAGCCTGCTGCGATTAACGGCGTAGAATTCGGCTTCTTGTTCGCACCGGCTGCGGAAGCATAGGAAGGGACCGCGGGAGCAGAAGGGGTTGGCGCCGGGTTTTGATGTTGTTGACCTGCGGTGGAAGTCATAAGGGTAACTGGTTGACTCGAAAGCCGTATTCTTTTCTTCTCTTTCGCTTTGGTGAGTGCGCGTGGCTTAACCTTCGATATGCGAGGATATAAATCGGTCCAACTGCACGTCGAATCTCAGATCCGGCGTGTGGCGGGGACTGAAGTGAAGGATTGTCTATCGTAAGACTGCCCTCAAAAGCTACGCACTCGAAATGACTCGGGTGGTTGTGCGATCAAGAAGCTCGAAAGTAAAGAATGTGGTGGGTTGTCGCAAGAGCGCGATCGAAAGAAAGGGCGACCGAGAACGACCTGGTGTCGGAAATCTCGCGCAGCCCAACGTCTTCGCAATTAAATAGCGGAAGAGTGGGGAGGTATATCTCTGTTCTCCGGATGCGAAATCCCTGAGAAGGAGAAATACAAGCGATATTAAGAGTGAAAACAAGGGAATCGGTCGATAATGACGATTCCTCCTTGGAGATTTTCACAAGATGGGTTGTGAAATGGGTGGTGGGAGGAGAAAGCGAGCCCAGAAAATTTTTGGGCGAGTTGCTTTCTGATGGCGAGGGAAGGGGTGTGTGGGCAGTGCTGCTCGGGCTTCCATTGGATTTGGCACACCAAAAGTCGGTTTAAAGACCGGGCGCCACAAAACCGCCCCAGACTTCCAGGTTGTTGCCAACCATGTCTGATGTTTCCATCTGTTGGAGCCTTCAAATTCCTTTTCGCCACCATGTCACGCTACTATTACGAAGCACGGCCGTTATCATGAGTGACCAGGGGAAAACATGCAACGGTTCCAACAATCGATGCAAGTGACATACATGTAAGTGACTTTCGGCGGGATGTATGTACTGTACATGTAATGCGCAATACGGATTACACAAGGTACGTATGTACCGTGGTAGGGCGGGCTGGTCAATCAAGCGCACTTCTTACCTAAGGTAACATAACATTGTCTTCCGAGCGAGCTTCTTATTGTTCCTTCGCCAAGTTCCAAATCACTGTGCCTACCCCATCCCACCTGAAGGGCTGAGGTCCTCCCTTTTCGCTGGCTCCCCATGGTCAAAAAGAGCCGTACAGGGAACTCACCTCGGGAGTTTAAGCAAATGAGGAGTCAAGCAAATAGAATCAAATCTAAAAGAACAGGAAGAGAGAGGGAAAAAAGAGAGGGAGAAATAAGGAAAAAAGAGAAGGAAGAAGGAAGCGAAAGAATAAAAGAAATAAATTAAAGAAATAAAATAAAAACAAGGCCTTATATTAGTTGGAGGGGGTCCAACGAGCAAAGCCCGCACGGACCCCCGAGTAGCAGCCGAATGAATTTCGTTCTATCTAGTCCGGCTGAGATCGATGTTTAGTGTATAGCCCTTTTTTGGCTAGAGGGAGGCTGGCTAAAGTGCTTTATCCTCCTATTTTTCTCTTTTCCACGCTCTAGCTGAACACGGTCGAGTTAATCGCCAGATAATGGTAGTCGGTAGGTGAAGATATTAGCTGCCTGGTGAACATTCCATACTGTCTAGTCGCGCGTTGTATCTTGATCGACGTTGGATCTTGATCTGGGGAATCGCAACATTGGCGGGGCAATACTCGGGCAAGGGTTCACGACGGACCCTGCCATTGGCAGGCCGGAAGCACACAGTCGCCCTCTCCCATCGCTCGAGAGGGCACGGAAGGTAACCTGGGACATGGGCACTATTTTGTGGGTAATATGGGTTGCAAACCTGGATTGTATCTCGAGAATCGCGTGTCTTGGCAGACATCTGGTTTGGGTTGTTTTGTGCGACGGAGGTGGGACTTTCATTTATGGAACTTTCATGAAGTCTTCTATACGTGTACTGTACGTCTGTTTTTATCGGGGCCTCCTGCGCCGTGTTCAATGAAATGAATTTTTTGAAGCTCCATGTCATACCGTACAATCTCGCGAAACTGGAAAACTCCTTAGCCTATTAGGGACTAGTGCCTTACGGACATCCACCAATTGAAGCCCTCATCAAAGCAAGGGTTTGCTGCAGTTGAGCCACGCTTAGCCACATCTTCTATTGCAACACGATGCCTCCTCAGTCAATCCTCGCCAGCAATGCTGGCGAGAATGGGCCGCAACTAGCCCTGGCTGCACCAAGGCAACCACTGCAGTCAATTTCGGCCAATACTGGTACTCGCCTGCCGCCTCCTGGGAACAAGGCAAGCTTGATTGTACGGTTGATGGCTCGGGAGGAACAAGGTGATCAGGGGCAGCATTGAGGATCAGATTCGCATACAAATTCGGCTGTGGCTGAGATCCACCTACTGCATGGCTTCGATTGGTGGGTGTCCTCAAGGCACTAGGCCTAAATAGGCTAAGGGGTTTTCCAGTTTCGCGAGATTGTACGGTACATCGAGTTCCCAGTGATGACTTACTGGGAGCGATGGAACCCGAGTCTAGGTGAAGGGTCTAGGTCGACGTGTTTTCAACTGTTCGTTACCCGTCCCGGCCTCTCACATCACAGTAAGAAAGAGAGAAGACCTGGACGAACCTGAGAAGAACCTTAGCTGGGCAACCCAATCATTGAATATCGGGCAGGGGACGGCCGGGCGGCTGCGCACAAGCAGTTCACCACTGCCATCACACTCCGCTGCCCGAAGAACAAACAATGTGCTACAAATTGCGTGTCACGGTTGGGCCCACGACATTGCCCGGTCTGACTCACCTCGATCAGGTGGGCTTTGCTCTACCACCAGAACAGTATCCCATGCCCGTCAGCACTCAGATAGACGCGGCTTGACATGTGATCCTGAATGGGACAGCCCCGCGTCTGCCACGAAGAGGGGATCATTATGCAGAACGAAACCAGCGTCTGTTAAAAAGGATCAGACAAAGTCGGAATGCTAATGGGGAGTGAAATGGCACAATTTTGAAAGCTTTACACAATCAGGACTCCTTGGCGCAATTGGTAGCGCGTTCGACTCCAGATCGAAAGGTTATCCGTTCAAGTCGGGTAGGGGTCAATCTCAAAGCTCAATTTTTTGCCTCGCTCTTCTCTGCACTCTTCTCACAACCCTTAAAGAAGAGGTAGTCTCGAGGCACCGTAGGATTTGTCTCCATTTACCGTAGCCCACTCATTTGCACCATACATAACCCTAACCCTAATCGATTTTGCCGCCTCAAGACTATACCGGGCCCACCAGACCCTCTCTAATTAGAATTCTGCCGGCACTAGCCCCGCCCGCAAGCCAGAGCTCAATAATTCTGCCGCAACATGTGCATCACTACCACCACTGATCCAAGACCCTCAATCCAACAACATCACCACGGCCAGCAGGCGCGCAATCACGCGTTCTTTGCTGCAGAGGTAAATCTACCGACTGCGCATGGTATATTCAGGGCTAACAGGACTTGCAGATGGCGTCGCAGCACCCGGCGCACGATGCGCCCATCGATGGCGACCGCGAGAAAGATGGAACAAGCAATGCCAGCGACTCTGACCACGATGATGTTTCCGACCGGGCCCCAGAGCCGTTATCCAACTCCCCGCCGCACCACAAGCTCTCAACGCACAAGTACGACTCTCTTGATGAACTAGTTTACGACCTGCAAGACTACGGATCTAGAGCTGGATTCGCAGTCGCCACGAGGCTAAGGGACTAGTGCTTGTCAAGGAGGACTTTCATCCGTACTAGTGGTTGGAGAGGAGCCTTCTCGACGATGACCGCTATCTACGGTATCAAGAATTCGACCGTGTGAGCCAACTGCGTGGCAGACCACGTGGATCTACGGCCTTTGCAAGCGACCC